TTTTTTTTTTTTTGATTTGTTATTCTCCTCGTCTTATCATTGTTCAAATTTTTTTGGCAGAAACTTTATAACTGCTGTAACAACCTTTAATAAAGGATGCTTTACTGCAAAAACATAAAAGCGGAAGATTTGTTTTACAACTTGTTTCTGATTTTCTAGCTTTTGTTATTCAACCATTTACATACCGAATAGAGAGGAAGTATTGCTGTAATCTGTCGTGAAAAAAACGTTTAAAATTTCAAACGTTTTGAAAAATGTAGCATTTCAGATAGATTTTTACGATAATGTGCTTATCCACTTTGACTTGAAAGGTGCTCCACCAAAAGTTCACTACCTTATTGAAATATTTAAAATAGCAAGAAGTAACGGTGCTACAGGTAGGTTTACAATATACACTTAGATGCACAAAAGTTTTAAAAAATATTTTTTTTTTTTTTTTTTTTTTTTTGCTGCTTACCTAATATAGACCTCAGTAATCTGTGTTGCGCAAGAACAAAAAATGATTCATTTTTTTTTTTTAGGTATTCTTCTTGAATGGGAAGACACCTTTCCATGGTCAGGCATACTTGAGCAAAATCGAGCATCTGAGGCCTACACAATAGAAGAAGTGGACAAAATCCTCGGTGCTGCTACCAGGCTAGGTTTGACGGTTGTGCCACTAGTACAAACTTTCGGCCATCTAGAATGGATCTTAAAAGTGGAGAAGTTTCGTAGATATCGGGAAAACGACATATATCCGCAGGTAAAAAAATACCAAATTATTGTTTTTTTTTGTGTGTGTAACTGTTTACTTTATGCACTTAAAGAATGCACTTATAGAATCTTAACCTATTTTTAGGTAGTATGTCTTGCTGACAACGAAGGTGTAGATTTGGTAAAAGAAGCAATAAAGCAAGTAATAAATGTACATAAAAAGTACGGTATCACCTACTTTCACATTGGTGGTGACGAAGCTTTTGAGGTAGGTTTGTTTTTCCAATTTTAAGCAATCATTACTGCAGCTAACATATTTTTAAAGTTGGAAGAGAAATTAAAATTACTTTTTTTTTTAGTACGGAGTATGCGAGAAAGATGTTCAATGGTTTAGAGACAATCCGGGCAGTACTAAAGAAATACTAGCAGCTCAACATTTAAAGAAGATTGCTGAATACGTCCAGTCGTTAATTCCAGGTGTAAGGTAGGCTGTTTAGATAAAGAATGTATTCAGCAATTTTTAATCAGTTTTAGAAAAAGTAACTTTTTATAAAAGAAACAGTTTAAATTGGACAAAAAGTAGGGTAACTAGAAGAAGATTTTAAAAAAATTTTCAGAGTTTTAGCGTGGCATGATATGATTAAGGACTATCCGCAAACTTTGATCAAGGAGACTGGCTTAAGCGATATAATTGAACCTGTTGTATGGGACTATTCAGAAACATTACAGCAACAAAGCGGTAAGTCGTTAACAGGATCATAAATACCAATTATTGTCGTTGAGTAATATGCCATTTTATTTGAAAAGTTTGTTTTGTTTCATTTTTTTGTAGATATGACTTGGAAAATGCTTTCGCTCAGCTTTTCAACTGTTTGGGGTTCATCTGCATATAAAGGGGCCAATACACCATCTACACAGGAAATTTCTTTGATACATTACATGCGAAATAACCAAGCATGGTTAAGCCATAAAAAGGTTATATTTTGTCAACCGCAGTGTCAGCTGTAGTAGGATTAAACACGTTCACATCCATTGAAGTAACTTATTCGGTTTGAAGCAATAACTGGGTATGTTATAGAAATAAAGTTTTTCAGCTTTATGGAAAGTACTTCAAAAATTTTCGAGGTTTGATACTGACCGGATGGTCACGTTACGATCATTTTGCTGTCCTTACTGAGCTTTTAGTGTCTGCTATACCATCACTCGTCTTAAACCTACAGGTTTGTTAGTGTCTAAAATACAGCAGTAGACGAGTAAAAGTTACAATTTTTCTACTGTTTTCTGTTTATTTGCTAAAAATTTCCTTGTTTTTTCCTCTAAGCACCAAGTTTAGTTTTCTGACCTAAAATGCTTGAAAAAATGATCATGACTTCAACAATTTTGAAAACTTCTAAGTAACTTTATTATTGACAGTATTTTTTTGAATGATCAAAATGACTGTTACCAAGCATAGCAGCCTGAATTGAAAAAGCCAGTAAAACTTGGAAACACTTTTTGTTTTTTACTGAAAAAATTGAAAAAGAGTTGTGTGCAACTTTTTTTGCTGTGAATATTAGTCAAGAAAGTTTACAGGAAAGTCACGAAAGTGAAAAAACTAAAGAAAATTTTCTTAAATTTAAACTCACATACTTAACTAACCAGATTGCTAACAACTATTCAATAGCTTTAAAGGTGGCCCGCGTTGGTCCAACTGGATACGAAGCCTTGATAGTTAATGAAACTGCAAAAGCACTAAGATGTTCAAACACGATAACAATAACAGAACCGGCCACACTAACTACATGCGTCTTTCCTGGTTTCTATTTAAATTTCCTTCCAATTTCGTGCTTTTTTAATGCCCAAGCCAAGAACTGTCATTAGTTTCACTGTTCTGTCACTGAAAATCTTAATTATTAAAAGAACTTCAGGCGTTGAGGTTTTTAAAATCATACATGGAGATTTACCTGAGTTGAAGACGAGGTTGAAATTTGATCTCGATTCTAATCACCAGCTCAAAGGATGGTTGGGAAGAATGAACATACGCCATAATTACACTCAACAGTGGTACCTCAGCGCATTATCAGTTATGTTGTTGCCGCTGCAACGAAATCTTTTGACCATTGAGGAAAAAATGAGGTTTACTTCTTTAGTTTTTGCTTCTTAATTTTGTTCAAAAAGTTACAAATAGAAACTTTTCTATTGAACTTTTTCCTCTCTTAAACGCATAGCTGAACTTCATGGGAAGGTAGGGAAAACCAAAGCGATAATTTAGACAAAAGAAGTAATTGCAAATTGTAATGAAAACTGCAGGGTGGCGATGAGTAGAATGTATTCGGATAACACAATTGATGAATGGCTTTATGAGTATTTTGACCCGACTGCAGAGAAGATACAACGGTATCTTGATGCTCTGGAAAGGTTGTCAAAGATTAAGACGTATCCAGTAAGGAGTTTCGAAATTAGACGAGATTTAAGGCAGACGGGTAAGCAATCCGCCTTTTTCGTTTAAAATTTTGACCTGCACAAAATATGTCGTTTTTATTTCCTTCTGAATTAACAGTCTCTAGTTTGTTATTGTTGTTATAAGATATTACATGTTCACTGTCTTCTGAATGTAAAAAGTTTTGATAAGTTTATCAAGCACTGTGAATAAAATGTGAATTTTTTATTTATTTTTTTTTATTTGGCTGTCCTAATCGTTTTAGAGGTTGTATTTTTTTGATTATTATGGTCATTTTTTTAATGGTGTGTGGAGATCGAAAAGCGGAGGTTTTTTAGCTTAGGTTTGTGCTGCAATTATTTAAACAATTATTTAGGAGTACCCGAATGACTTTTTAATATTACAGAGAAAAATTGAAGCAAATATCATGTTCAAAAGGAAAATTGGCTGTATTATTATTATAGAGATATTATCTAAAACTGCTGAGCAATCTTTAAGCAATTTCTGGGGGTCATAATGCCACCGTTCTTCGAGCATTTCATGTGCTCAAAGTCGTTGCTGTTGTAGTATATCTTTTGCTAAAGATTTGCGAAATTGAAGCAGTGTAAAGCGAGTGGAAGGCTTAGTGAATTTGTAATTTATTTATCTAACTAATCATTGTTCCTACCTACCGTTGGCAGTGGTTTAAGAGTTTAATGGGGTTACCAATCGCTTTAGCTGGTTTCGTTGGGCATTTTCTGCACAAATTTTCATAACCTTAATTTGCATTTTTAAGCGATTGATCTGATTACAATAGCGTAAACTAAATCCAGTAAGCCAAGCTTTATCACTGGCTTGAAATACTTTTAGTAACAGCTGCGCTGTGCTGGTCAGTAGACGTGGCACACTGATATTTTGCTGAAGAACTCGTGGAATTTTTAATAAGAATTTTAGTAGCTCTAGATTCTAAATATGGTCAAATTCTTGAAAGTTTTAATGATTCGTACTTTTGACGTTTAAGCAGAGCCTTTTTCTCGCTTTCTAAGAGGGAAAAAAAAGGATGAAAAGGAACGAAAGTTTGACTGCCAGTAACGAGAACTAAAAAAGCTTTCGGGTATTTGATACGGTTCTTTAAAACTAATAAGTTGGATAGTTCTCGAGTTTTTTAACTACTTTGGTGAGAACTGCAGAAACAAACAAGACAGGTTTTGCTTGTTCTATTGTTATGTTGCTAACAGAATTACTATGGTGTTAAGGTGTCAGCATGGCATTGCTGTTTTTTTTT